CCCATGCTCTAATTTGTCTAGGCTTGTTAGAAGTGTGTTCTCCTTCTCTTATCATGAGAATGGTGCTGAACAAGGGCCTAAATCCAATTCTTCCCACACAAAAGAGTCCCATGGAGTGCTTCCCCTGCTTGACTGTAAAAAATGAGCCACTCTGCCAGGATGCCATCTAAGTTCAGAAACACAGAAAAACACCCAATTTTGAGCTAGTAGGGCTTGCTCTCATCAAGGTATTGCATTTGAAATGCACAGATCTCAGTGAAGCTCACAACAGAAAGCTTTTATTGGACATGTGCCTTTGAGGTCTTTTCCTGGGCTCCTGTAGAAAGCCCCAAGTTAACATGAAGTCCAAATGAGTACAAAGCCTAACAGAGTGGTACAAAGAGGATGGGGATGAAAAAATACTTCCAAAAAGGAAAAGGCAGGCAGGAATGTTTGAAGAGGAACTGCCACAAAATAAAGGATACAGATATCTATATGCAACACATTTGGAACAAATTTGTTTTTTCTTACTCTGACAACTTTTTCCTAAACATTAAGGCAACACCTAAAGAGTCCATGAGGCTGCACTGTACTGGGAGTGCTGCAGATCTCATGCAGCAGCATGTCAGGAGGTGATTTATTGTAAATCATCTGTGGCAAGTGATGGATGACTTCATGTTCTGCTTACAGCAGAGGAAATGAAGCCCAAGGAACCTCTCTGACCTCCATCTGCATCCAGACCAGCTACAGAGACCTTTGACAGACATACACATTAAAGAGACACACTAATCTGGCAGCCACTAGTTCCTACTTTAAAAAAACAGCACAGCCAAATATTTTTCATGCTCAAATTAACGAGTCACAAAAGATCTCAGAAGTTTGTGAGGTTTTCACTGATAACCTGAAAAAATGCAAGTAATCCAGAGGAAAGGCTCACTGTATCTGTATTCCAATATTTTGGAATAGGTTTCTAGCATGCTACTTCCTGTCCTCAAAACACACAAGGTGAATGTAAATAAATATACAGTACTATGAGAAATCGACAGTAAGAGAATCTTGTTTCAACACCTTCAAAGACAGCTGGACAAAACCCTCAGCAGAAAAGTCTGGTCTCAACAACCAGACCAACTGCACAAACAACAAATGCAGAAATCCCTCCTTGATGTAGGTGACCCAGGTTAAAGGTGAGAGATGCCAGATTGCCTGTAAATTGGCTTTCATTCTGAGATACTTTAGATTCACTTAGACTTGTTTTTATTTATTTATTTATTTATTTTATTTTATGTATTTATTTACCAACAGAAAAAAAAGAAAAAAAAACATAGTTATTCACTATTTATGTTGAGAAGTAACGAATAATTGATGTTTAAAAGGAGCACAGATTGTGTGTACAGCTTAAGTGACAGATATTATCAATATCTGATCAAAACAATTTTTAACATATGTAAGATGAAAGTTGATTTTCCAGAGTTTTACATTCTATTTTAGGCACATTTTGAGAATATAGAATTATTTCAGAACAAAATTAAAGTTACTGTGACATTATAAAAGCCACTTTTTACAATTAATCACCCCATACAAGATCCTTGAAAAGAATATCATTACATTTGCAAAACAAAGTAGTGAACAAACTTATGAAAGGGGCAGAATTACAAAGTTGCAAGGTCAACCTTGACTTTGTATGATTCAGAAACAGTTAATTCTGCTCAGAGCCTTCTTAGGGCCCCCTGATTTAAGCACACAACACAGACATTTTGATACAAAAAAGCAGAGTGCATGGCCTTGAGATGGTGGTTCAGGGCACAGGAAGTTAAGAACCTTCTGAGAATCCCAGAAACATCAGTCATTCAGGAGAGGAGAGGCAGGATTAAACAGACACTGCCTAGAGCCCATCCAGAGGAAATGTGGAAACAGGGAACAGCCTCTGGATACTTCACTTAAGGCTCTACCACCTGAGATATAGCATGGTTATAAAAGTGGTCTCATCAACCCCACAAACACTCTGCTCCCAGACCCACTGTCCCCAGCCAGAAATGGTTGGATCACCTATCTGACATCAGCCTGAGCTATTCCACTTGCTAAAATGGCAGAAAAAAAGTTAGTTAGGTTTAGCTTATATACAAGAACCATAGTCAGGATAAAGAAGGTTTCAGAACAATACAATAGGAAGTCAAGGCACAGAGGAGAGAGAAAGAAAGAGCAGAACTGCTCTTTCTGGCTCACTATAACACAAGTAATCCTTTTGAGGAGATACCCAAGAGCAAAGGGACAAAAACCAAAAGGGTCTCTTTGTATCAAAGCCTAGCCCTGACCTCTGCTCCCAAAATTATTCATAAGCTTCATTCAACAGCTCTTGAAATACAACACATGAACAAAACATGCAGAGCCTGCACCACACACATGGGATTCTGAAAACAGAAGGACCAGATTGCTTAGAGATTTTTCTAGGCTTCTTTCACTAGAGCACCACTCCAAGCATTAGCTGATTTACTTTGTCAAATCAGCCAACCTGTACAGGTGGCAGATCAAGGATACAGACAGGTTACAGTCAAAAACATCCACCACTGACTTCTCCAAGGACTTTGCAAATGACATTTTACTCAAAGGCAGCATTCTTTACCTTCCAACACACCCCAACACTCAGCATTTCTGCAGGTCAGCTCAGAGCATCCCAACAGACCCATTTCCACCTTCTTCATTGCTTACTGGCTCCAGTTTCCCCCAATTCCCTCAAACCTGCTGGTCACTCCAGCCCTCCTCACTACAGACAAAAATACAGACAGGTACTAAGGGGCTTATTGATCTCTAAAAGGCAACTGCAGTTTTCTCACTGAACTATTTTTTTTCAAAACCAACATACTAAAAAATCAGCTTAAGACAGGCACAGAGAACAGGAAATCCCAAAACAAATAGTTCAGAGGTTTAGAGATAAGCAACGGAAAACTGGATCTCAGAATGGGAAATGTTGAACAGTTTAAAAGTATGCAATGCTTCCTGGCCTGCCCAAAAGGAGCATGATGCCCTTACTATGTGCTCTGCAAAACTGATGGACTTCTTGAGTATTCATTTCCTAGTTTCTAAATATTTAGATTTTGAAGATGAAGAGGCAAGTAATCCTTTTGTTCTCTGTGGAGGATCATAATTGGGTTTATGATAAAGAGGAAGTATGTTGCTGATATGAATTAGCACAGATTCAACACAGATAGGCCAGCTGAGCCAGAGGACAGCCTGGTCTGAAGGCTTCTCCCTCTCCTTTTTCATTGCTTAGCACTGAGGGATATTAAATATGTCACAACACTCACAAACAAAAGGTGTGTTGTGTTGTCACCAGTCTGAGAGATCTGAGGTTCCTGCACGTGTGCCCAGCTATTTGATAACAGTTTTATGGGCCTTAAGAAAATACAACAAATACTTTACATAATTGAAGCACACATGCAATACTGATTGAGAATCCACATGCAGCTTCAATTACATCCAGAGTGACCCAGGAATATGGATGTATTCCCTAGATGCTACACCTAGCAGGGGACACATCTGTGCCACAAATAACAGCAAAACTCAGGGCAAGTGCAGGGCCAGCAGCCCAGTGCCTTGTGCCCACTGCTGAGGGGACCAGCTGCCTCCCCAAAACAGCTCTTCTCTCCCAGGGTCTTTGGTTCTGGGCATCTGCACAAGGCAGGAGTCGTGTGACTGCATGGAGGGGCAGAGCTCTGGTAGCTGTGGAGCACGTGTCCATAGAAGGCAGGCTGGGAGCAAGCTAACACACAGCTAGGTGGGATCAGGGGAGCACAACCTGCCCAGGCATCACACTGAGAAGCCACTTGGCAGCATCAATGCATCCCATTTTCAAGCATTACATAAAATCTGCCACAAAGCCAGTGTCACACTTCATCAAACACATTTTTGTTTGAATTCACAAGTCAGAAAAAATTTAGTAAAATAATGTACAAGGCAAGAATTACAAGGGATTACTTTAGAGATTTTGGAGCTGTTTAATTTTACACACTGTGAGGAAAAAGATTCTTTCCCTTGCTGAAAATATCAGAATACCATTTTCTGTAAGCAAAGTTTCCCAGAGCAACAACAGAAACTCTTGGAGAGCCTGGTCTAAAAGGATGTCAGTGCCATCATGTAGGGCAAGATAGAATCCATGCACTCTTTTTCAGAACTGCATCAAATTTTGGGCTAAAGTGGACAATTCTGAAAACATGCACATTTAGTTCCAACTGGAAGAAATTGTGAAAGTTCACATACAACCAGGGCACTTTTTCAGTGCCTATGAAGAGGAATTTTGGAAATTGAAGTCCTCTCTACAGTTACTGCCTACTTGGAAGTATGGCAACAAGTTTTCTTGTGATTTGGCAGCCATTACCAAATGAAAAGCACTGAGTGCTCGACAGACAGACCTGGCTTCCTTCTGAAACAGGCTCTCATCAAGACCCTTTTTCCTGGGAAAACTTGCTTCTTATCTGAGATATAAGCAACACAGACTCCACATGACTCCATCCACTGGGGACAGGAAAAGCAAAACAAAATCCTGAGATTCTGTCCTGTGTCCCATGGAGGATTGGTCTCTTTGGGAACCAGTGATGAGGAGGACAAGAAAGGCTGCTCAGAGATGGGAGAGGTGGAAGAATCAGTTCTCACTGAACTGCTGAGAGGAAGTCCAATACTTGGTCCCAGAAATAAAGTTATTATTTATACTTATTAAAGTAATTATTACTACACCCTATTATAAGGGACCCATTTAAACCACAAGCAGTCTACAGGAGCAACAGCAGGAAAGGATCAAGCTCAAAGGTGAAACTCCATGTCAGGACCTATTTTATTTTCTCATGGGTTTCAGTTTCCTTTTTTTGTTTATCTTTAAATAAAGACTACATTTCTGCCAGGTTTAACACATTATTCCACACTGCAGCATTCAAAGCACAATGCATCATTTAGATGTAATTCCCCACACTCCCCCACATTTTCCCATGTTTGTTTTACTCACTAGCCCATCAAAAGTTTTGTTCTCTTACCTTTATTATTTCTGGGGCCTGCTGAATTGAAGCTGGAACAGAGTCTCTGGAGGCAGCCCCAGCATGGCTTTTTTGCCCTGCAAGCAAGGACTGTGAAGGAGTTGCTAAAGTTTCCTGGAGAATTTGCATCACTTCCCTCTCCTTGGACAAACTTCCCTTGCCTGTCTGGAATTCCACCAGCTCCTGGGCAAAGTCCTCAATGCTTCCCAGGATACGCAGTAAAAGGGCTCTGTCATCCTCTTCCATTTTATGACCATTGGGCTCCATGATTTTTGACAAAGAAGAGGGGGGATCAGCAGGTTTACTTTTGGGTTCAAGAACTAGAGGTGGAGCCTGCCTACCCTGCCTGCCAGACACCTGCAGTGAGGCAGGTTCGTCCTCCTTCCGAGAGGGTTCCCTCAGAGTACTCTGCATTTTCTGTGAGAAGCTCTCCAAGTCCAGCAGCAGTTTGTCTATCTCCTCCTTGTCCACCCTACTGCATGTCTGGGCTCCTTTGGGGACAGCAGCTTGGGCACCACACAACACAGGGTCTGACACTGGTTTTAAAGGAGCAGTTCGCTCAGGACCATCTCCTGCCCTGGCCTGCTCTGCTTTAGCATCAGCAGCAAGGTCTGAACCAGCAGCTCTCTGGTAGCTGCGCTCCAGGCTCTGCCAGCTCCCCTTCTGCTCTGCCTTCTTCTCTGTCCCTGCTGTTCTGTCCCCATCAGACTCCTCCTCGATGTACAGCGCCTCAGTGGCAGACGTGCAGTCGCAGGGGCTCAGGGCTGGTGACTGAGGTAGAGCATCTTTCACCACTCTCACGCTGCTCTCTGGAGGGACAGCGGGCAGGGAGCTGGAAGTGAAGCTCACAGTACCTGTCTGGATGGACTGGGAGGTGCTTGTCACCTCACCCTGACCTGGTAGAACGAGAGGAACTGCACTTGAGGATGGCAGCTGAATGATATCTTCATACCTGGGTGGCTGCTCATCACCAAATACCAGGGGAATGGGAGTTTGCTGCAAGCCATGGAAATAGTTCATCAGCTCTGCCCAGTCACTCGCTTCCCTCTGCCCCGCTGTCTTCAGCTCAAAGGGCAGCTTTTTCAGGTAGGAAGAAAATCTTGTCATCAGATTCATGTACATCATCTCTGAATTAGCCAGGGGATCATTGCTGTTCCCTCCACCAACATCTGCAGACTTCTTCTTGATGCAGTGTTTGATTATGTCTGTGCACTTTTTCAGATCCTCTGAGCACTTGAGCAGGATGTCCAGGCACACCTTAATATCCCCACCAGAAGAACCATCTAGCTTGTGTTTTTCTAAAATCTGGGTAATGAGGTTTTCTTCAGGGAAGGAATGAGGGCAGAAGGGAACCACAGAATTCATGGTGACTTCTCGAGCATCACTGCTCTCCTGCCATTTCTCTACAGGTGAGGGACTCTGAAAAAAGCCACATGGAGGGCAGTTCTCATCATTGTTAAAGTGCCCACAAATCAAGTCAAAATCAAAGGATCGTCTGCTGAAAGATTCTGACCGAACTTTTCTTCCCTTTCTGTAGGCCACATGACTGGAAGAGTTTTTGAGCTTTTCAAAGGAGAATTCCTTTATTTTACCACTGGCAAGATTTATTGCCTCACCAGTAATGTCTTTTAAACTGCTGGAGGTTTGCACTGAAAAGCCCTTCTTGATTCTTGGATTATTTGGGAGGATTTGGTGATAGTCCTCATTTCCAGCCAAAGCAAGACCATTTTCAGAAACAGGAATTTTATGGTCCAGGTTGGCATCTTGGACACTGAGCTCTGCACAGACACTGTGGTGAGCAACTATGCAGGCGAGTCCCTGTCTGAGGAGCTGGCAGGAGCCTGTGCAGTAGTGCACGGTGTGCTGGGAGTGCTGCTCTACCACCACGCTGCTGTAGCAGTTCACTGAAGTCACCATCAGCCTGTAGGTCGCTGCCATAGCACAGACCACGCTGGGAAGTGAGGCTGCAAAACTCACCACGAACTTCACAGGGAAAAGCTCACTTTTCACAGCCACACCAGACTGGATGAAAACATTCAAATGTCTATTGGAAACATCCAAACTGTGTGAAGAGCTATTGCCTTGGAAAGCCCTGGCAAAGTCTGGAGTGGTTTCAGCAGTACAGTTACAACAACTAGTGCAACTTGCATATGGTTTAACTTAAGGCACCTCGATGCTCATATTCCATGCCCAGCAGAGATGCAGCACAAGCTGCTCCATTTCCAATGGTCCAGGTAGCTTCTCCAGCAGAGGCCATAAAATCCAGTCAGTTTTATCGCAGAAGTGACAAGTCAACAATTTCTGTTTGACCCTTTTCCTCTCTTTTTGGGTGGGTCAGTAAAAGATAGATAATCCAGTAGCATGTGCAGAGAAAAAATCCACAGTGTACTTGGGAGATTCCGCTCTCACACTGGTGACACAGGTCCCTGCAATAGAAATAAAGATGACAGTCATTATGATTGCCATGTATTGTGCAGCCTAGTCTACTACCAAACATCTGGCACCAGACAGAACAACCAGCACACAGGCCTGCACAGAAGAGAGTAGGCTGATAGTCTTCTTTCACTCAGATCTACCATATAAGAGCAGTGCTGAGGAGCTGGCCTATATTTATACACAGGCTGTCTGTGTGCTGCCATTTTAACAGCTCTATTTTAGCTACTCATTAATTTTTTTCAGCCTTGCTTTTTTTCCTCCCTAGACTGAGCAAAACATTACCTTTAATTCTAACAGAGCAAAACATTTTGATCCTGTTGTGAATTTCTGCCTTTTGTTTTCCAAGGCTCTAAAGATAAGGCAAAGGGCAGTAGAGAAAAGCACTTTCAGGATTTCTAAGCTCTCTGGATTATAAAAAGCTGCAAAAACCCTGCAGCAAAGTAGCTGAATGCCTCAAAGAATGCACAGTTTTTAGTAAAGACCACATTGGTTTCCATTAGCCTTTCACCAAGGTCTCTGGGACCATAGCAATATATTTTATGGAAAAATTATGTTGTTCTTACAACCCATAAATAGCAGTATGTTTAATACAGTAAGTCCACTGCTGCAGACATTGAGGATAGTAACATTTGTATAAAGGTTAAGCCTATGAAAACTAGGAATTGAGTGTTTTACACTTAGCACAGTCATTTCCAACTGCATTTCCTATTATCATGGTCAGAACTGCATCAGAAAAAAACTCAAAAGCTGTTTAACTTTGTTATGAAAAAAAGCAAATCTCAGATTTAAGGGTCATTAATTTTAGATATTGCCTCATCTTTCTTTAATACATGAACAATCAAATGAAAACACCCCAGTGAAATTCTGAGCACCCTCTATTCCTGTACAAACAGAAATCTGTTTAATAAAACATTATTATATCACACAGCTAAGTCACTCCACAGTACAGGTATATTTTGGTTTCTTCAAAAGCAAGCATCCAGCACTGTGAAAGGCCAGGCCTGCACCTGATGAAAGCATTGCCCTCCCCACAGTTCCATCCCACCAACTTAGCTCAAAGCCTGGACAAACACAGCCCACACAAGGCAAGTCCCCTTGGTGCTGTTGTAATTTCCCACTGGGTAGAACATAAGTCTAAATGTTCACATTTTACATATTTTAAAGCCTGAAGTTAAAACTGAGAAGCACTGATTCAAGAGGTTCAATGGAACTTGTGATGTGCCATGTCTGCTCACTGCAGTTACATAGAGTGGCACAGGTAAAGAATCCTTCCCACTTTGTTCTTTGGATTATATAAAGCATTGCAAAGACTGCATTCAGGATTAAGAGCTAACTGCCATGCTGGGCTCTGTAACAGGCTGCCACCTGCCCATCCCAGCTGCGGGCCAAGCAGCTCCTCAGCTCCTCCTGTCCTGGCCTGCCCCTCTCCACACCCACTGGCACTGCCCCAAAGCCCCTCCGGCATGGGAGGGCCATCCAGAGGGATGAGCAGAGGCATGAGGTGTGCCTCTTCCCCAGGGAACAGTAGTGGTGCCAGCTGTGCCCCTTCCTCAGGGATGAGCCGTGGTACAAGGTGTGCCCTTTGCCCAGGGACAAGCACAGGTACCAGCTGTGCCCCAGCCCCTGCAGTGAGTCAAGGCACCAGAAAGGGCATGCACAGAACCCTTTTCACACCCTGAGGTGTTCACTCCATCACTCACAAAGCCAGGAAAGACACTTTACACCCTCTACTCACTCCTCTCAGGCTTCACTGCCACATGTGCTAAACCCTCTGCTGAATCAGAGCCACAGTTCAAAATGTGTTGTTGGCTCCCCAGTGCCTTCATGGGCTCTGTAAGGAAACTCATGCTAGGCCTCCAAGAAGTCCACTGATCCATGAACTCCCTTCAGCACATCAGGGTAAGAAGTCTGCTGCTTTTCTGAACCTCCATCAATTTAAAACAAGCCTTCTGGCATTTCCTGAAATGACTGCTATATAATACTTAGAGAAAGGAGAAGCCTTCAGGGACAGCTAGTTTGATGAAGAATTAATATTGCTTCTCAAAAAGCATAGGACTTCCTAAGAGCTCCCTTCTTCCTCTGTGTCATACACAGACTGATCTTTTAGCAGCAAAGAACAGTTTGGGTTTATACCTAATTTGGGCAATAATTACATCTTGATTAAGTTATTTCTTAATTAGAGTAATAATGTATTAGTCATTGTCTCCTCTGTTACTCCAAGCGAAGTTTCCTCCCGCCAACCAAGCCAGTTTCTCTACTTCTTTAAGCCACCTTCAAGCAATGAAGTTTTTGCATGTGTAAGGTTATTCCTTCAAGAAAAAGCTCTCCTGGATTCCCAATCTAAATGGACTTTTTTTTTTTCTTTTGTTCAACTTTGTATTGCCAGCTATGCCAAATAACAAGGTGTTTATGCAATGACTGCTGCACTCTCTAACCCCTTTTCATTTGTCTGTATTCCTCTGGTACTATCACCAACCAACACAATGCAAACACAAATTTGCCCAGGCCAACACAAGGATTGCTGCCTCCTGCCTCTGCTGTCAGCACCTTTTACTGCTGCACCAGAGGAGGAAGTAATCAAACAAAGAATACAAAACCTCAATATCCTCTTTCCTTCCATACTAACTAATGTCTTTTCAGTAATTATTTACTAATTGCTTTATTATCACTGTCTGCAAAAACATGCTCAGGTTATTCAAGGGCTGGAGCAGCACAAATCCTTAGAGATGCAGAGTAGAAATTTCTCTCCCACTACCTTGGCCGAGGTAGGACATGCTCAGGTTGCAGCTTTATTTGAATGTGATCTGTTGAACATGATCCAGCATGCAAACCTGGTCAGGACAAAGCCTGAGAGAGGAGTATCCCTGTTTTCAGATCTGGGAATGCAGCCTCAAGCTGAGCTTCAGTTGTGACTCTTGGTGGGTGACTAAAACCTACTATTTATAAGTAGAATTAAAAGACCAAACACATAAAGAAACTTTCCTACTTGGCTCTTTCCAGGCTGCAACTTCATTCCAGTTTGACTCTAGAGCAGCCCCCAGTTCAGAACCACTGCAGAAAGATTCTGTAATTAGGACTGCTGCCATGAAACCAGCCCAGCCCCAGGGATACAGGACTGGCTTCATAACACAAACTGGAAATGAATAGTGCTTCTTGTGTGATTGCAGAATAATGCTTTATGTCTGTCCTATCTCTGCAAGATGACATGAATTGCTTTCCAAAGGAAAAAATTATTGCAGATACTAACTATATAAAAGGTTATTCCACAAGACACACAAGAGATTCTATTAATGCAAAGATTATGCAGAAGTTAAAGAATTGAACAATGACAATCTGTTCAGATTGGGACTGTCAGCCAGCACTTGCAAACTGAAGTCTAGAAAGCTACAGGATAGGGCTCCAATATCTCTGAAAGTCTCTAACTCACCAAAAGTCTTCTTGAACCCTTATCTGCAGCACTAGCAACAGGAGCTAGAAGCCACCATAACACAGTATTGAGTAAGCCAGCCCTCCTGCACCAGGACATGGCCTGAGCATCACTGTGGAACTGCTTGTTTCTAAAGGAAGGTGTGGTAGGACCAACCCTCCAGTTTGGTACTCCTGCAAAAGAAAACAGAGACTGAATAACCTGTCATTTGGACAGTCACCAGTATAGCTTCAGGTATATCACCATGCCTGTGTAATCAGATGTGAGGTCTTACTCTCTTTAGAAAGGTTTGTGGTACCAAAAAGCAGCATTTAACTCTATCTTCTTATTTAGAAATTATTGGGTTTTGTTTAGAATTTTCTGAGCAAGCAGATTTGGGAGCAAGCTATACAGATTATAGAAGAAAAAAGCAGGCAAACAAATTAACATTTCTTTCCAATAAATTTTTGAAACAAATACAGTTCTGCTGGATTAAATGGAAATTTTATAACCAGACACTTAATTATTTCAGATCACAAAGGAACTGATTAACAACTCGCCATCGTTTGCACAATTTTTTACTCCTCATAAAAGGAACAGGAGACTAAAAAGAGTAACTTTTCTTCCTATATTGAAAAAGTTTGGAAGAAAAAAAACTAAGTTGTTTCTTTGTCCTGTATTTCTTATATATTTACAGCTTATCATATTTTGATGTGCTTAATGGCAACGGAACTATTTTGTACGTAGGACTTATGTAGGATGTGCAGCTTTTCAGTCCTCAGGACCAGGAGAAATTTGATGCATGTGCACACATTTGAGGAACAGTAGAAGAAACCACTTACAACATGTACAGTTTGGGGATTACAGGGGTTTATACCACTGACACTGGCACAGCAACCAGAACCTTTAGAATTTTCATTTCTAAAAGGTTTTAGCTACAAGATATTTCATGTTTTTGAAACTGCAACAAACTTGCCTCATAACCCCGGTTAGAGGAGCTGACCTACTCAAAGTAAGCACTTCTATTTGAACCAGAGGACATGTCCTCATAGTCTCAAGTGCTTCAGTATTTAATTACACACATTCTAGAAAAAGGGTCATCATTTCCCATTGAAGTATGTTCCACATCAGGTTTCACAAACAGCTATCCCACTTTCTTATGCTAAATTAAAAGAGCTTTCAGGATTGTCAAATCACCTCTTAGCATTCTGCAAGAGGGCCAGAGAGTCTGAAAGATATCTTCAGTCATTGATATAAGCATTTGCCCAAGTTCTGTCTGTAACTTGTTATTGTTCTTACAAAACCATGGCAG